GGTACCATTTGATGTACTACCACTATCGTCACTAGTGCCAAATAAGTCTTTAATTAATGAAGTGTGAGTAAGACTTGCAGCATCAACGATGCCAGAGGCATTGATATTGCCAGAGGTACTAGGAATTGTAGTATGTTCCGTTGTTCCAAGGGTATCAGATGTTATTGGGACAGCTGGTATGCTGCGCCTGCTTGATGTACCCTTAGCATTAGAGGAACCAGTTGTACCACTAATCTTTGGAGTTTGTCTAAGTCGCGGACTATTAGTGATCTCAGAGAGTACTGCAATACCAGAAGTGCCAGCAGTGGAATGTCCTGCTGATGTTTCGGCAGTACTATTTGTGTGCAGCTTTGTTGATTTACTGGAATCGCGGTGTGTACCAGTAGTGTTAGGAGTATCGGATGTTCTACGAGTACCAGTTGGAAAGGCAGGGGCATCAGAAATAGCAGGAACGTCAAAGGTGTCAGTACTGCCAAAGCTACCAGGACTATCAGGGTTTATTGGTGTTTCCGGAGTAAATGGTGTGCTCGAGTGGAGTGGATCACTGTCATTACGTGATGAATCAGTACCCTCAATAGAACTATGCATCTGAATATCTGCAGGGCTGGACAAATCACTACAGGCAAACATATCCGAGTCACTAGAAAGAATAACAGGTTCCAATGTAGGATCAGGTAGTTTTGGAATAGTTCGTTTACTGGATCTGCTGTGTGTGTCATTAATGTCGGGAAAAGAACTTGTATTATGATTGCGAGGATTGACGTGTGCAACAGGAGCTGTAGAAAGAGTGTATTCCTCAGGAATCCCGGAGACAGCACTTTTGCGAGAAGTACTAGAAGTTTCAGTAAGTTTCGGTGTTCCAAGGGCACTAAATTTTTCTGGAATATTTGGTTTACTGGAACTGCTTGATGTCCCAATAGCGCCAGTGTAACTAGTTGTGTCAGTAGTCTTAGGAGTGTCTGTAGGACCGGGAACATGAGTGACTTCAGAGGCAGCAACCTTGCGAGTGCCTGTAGGAATGCGGGCAGGTCTCGATGCTCTGATGCTAAATGTTTTTGGGATAGCTGGTTTGCTAGGTCTACTTGATGTACCATTAACTTTAGAGGAGCTAGTTGTGTGACTAATCTTAGGAGAGTCTGTAAGACTGGGAAGTTCGGTTATCTCAGAGATGGCTGCAATGGCAGAAGTGCCTGCAGTGTCTGGACATGCTGTTGTTTCACCAGTACTAGCTGTTTGCAGCGTTACTGAGGACCTGGAACGGTCTGTATCAGAAATATCGCGAAACCAAGGGAAATCAGGAGTGCGAGGTGTAAGGGGACGATCAGGAGTGAATGGAAGAGTGTATTCGTCAGGGAAGCCGGATTCATTAACCTTGCGATAGCCGAATGGAATGGTAGTATGTCCCGCTGGTATGAGGCTACCAGACGGTTCTTGGGTAGTTGGTTTAATGGAACTGCTGTGTCTGTCGGTGTCGGAGAAAGAAGTTATATTAGGCGCGCGCGGAGTAAGGGGATAATCAGGAGTGGAAGGAAGAATGTAATCATCAGAAAAGCGGGAGGCCGCAATGCCAGAAGTGCCAGCAGTGGATTGTCCTGCTGGTGTTTCGGCAGTACTAGTTGTGTGCAGCCTTGTTGACGTACTGGAATCGTGATGTGTACCAGTAGTGTTAGGGATATCGGATGTGCTACGAGTACCAGTTGGAAGGACAGGAACATCAGAAATAGCAGGAACGTCAAAAGTGTCGGTACTGCCAAATCTATCAGGACTCTCAGGGTTTATTGGGAGTGGGTTACTGTTATTATGTGATGAATCAGTACCCTCAATAGAACTAGGCAGCCGAATATCTACTGGGCTGGGTATATCACTGTAGGCAAACATATCCGATTCACTAGAAAGAATAACACGTTCCAATGTAGGTTCAGGTAGTATTGGAATAGTTGGTTTACTGGATCTGCTGTGTGTGTCATTACTGTCGGGAGAGAAACTTGTATTATGAATGAGTGGTACAACAGGAGTTGTAGAAAGAGTGTATTCCTCAGGAAAGCCGGAGGCAGCAACTTTGCGAGAGGTACTAGGAGTTTCAGTAAGTTTCGATGTTCCGAGGGTACCATATTTTTCTGGAAGCATTGATTTACTGGAACTGCTTGGTGTACCAATAGTGCAGTTAGTTTTATCAGTAATCTTAGGAGTGTCTGTAAGACTGGGAACATCAGTTGTGCCAAAATCAGCAACGTTTTCAAGTGTTACACTAGGAGCATCAGGTGTGTTTGGGCTTGAAGATGATGTACTGGAAGTGCTGGATGTTGTAGTGGTAGAAGAGTCAGATGTGCTGCTAGTGCCACTAGTGCTACTAGATGTTCCGGTGGCTTCATGAGTGCCAGGATTATTGGGATTTCCTGCTGTTCCTGAAGTATCAGAGTTTATTGGGATACTTGTTATAGTGGGATTATGAGATGTAGAAGGTATGCCAGAAGTACCAGGTATGGCAGGTGTACCTGGAATGCCAGAAGTGCCGGGACTACATGAGATATCAGGAGTGTCGGGAGTTGCTGGATTACTTGGTGTTCTCTGAGTTGTAGATGTACCTTGATTATCTGGAGTACCAGGAGTGCCAGGAGTATCAGAGTTTTCTGGTATATTTGGAGTTGCAAGTGTTGCTGGATTGTTTGGTATGCTTGGAATGCTTGATTCGTCAGATGTGTCAGAAATGAATAGACTAAGAGAACTATCTGATGTGCCAAGAATTTCTGAAGTGCTAGGTCTAATAGGTGTGCCAGGTTTGCCAGATGTGCCAGGTTTGCCAGGAGTAGCAGAAATGCTAGTTGCAGCAGGAGTATCAGAATTTTCTGATGTGCCAGAGATCCCTGAATTAGTTGCTGTGCCAGAAATGTCAGTTACACCAGGTCCAGATGTATGTGTGCTGCCAGATGTTTCTGAAGTTTTAGACATACCTGATGTTCCTGAACTATCAGAAGTTCCAGGTATTCCCGTCGTTCCAGGAATTCCTGGAGTGCCTGGTGTACCAGGAGATCCAGGTTTTCCAGGAATACCGGAAGTTCCAGGAGATCCAGAAGTTCCAGGAGATCCAGGAGATCCAGGAGTTCCGGGAGTGCCCGGTGTACCAGGAGATCCAGGTGTTCCCGGAGTACCAGGAGATCCAGGTGTTCCCGGAGTACCAGAAATTCCAGGGGTTCCTGGTGTACCAGAAGTTCCTGGAGTGCCCGGAGAACCAGGAGATCCAGAAGTGCCCGATGTACCAGATGTTCCGGAAGTTCCCGAAGTACCAGGAGATCCAGGTGTTCCCGGTGTCCCAGGGATTCCCGGTGTTCCAGGCGTACCCGGTGTTCCAGGAGTTCCCGAAGTACCCGCAGTGTCAGGAGGTGCAGAAATACCAGGATATCCAGGGATGCCCGGAGTACCAGGGGATGCAGGTGTGTCGGGAATACCTGGAGATCCAGGAGTACCTGGAGTACCAGGAGATCCAGGTGTTCCTGGAGTACCAGAAGTTCCAGGAGTTCCCGGTGTACCAGGAGATGCAGAAATTCCAGGAGATCCAGGTGTACCAGGCGATCCAGGTGTACCAGGAGATCCAGATATGCCAGGATATCCAGGTGTACCAGGTGATCCAGATGTACCAGGTGATCCGGGTGTACCAGAAGATCCAGAAGTGCCAGGATATCCTGGTGTACCAGGCGATCCAGGTGTGCCAGGGTATCCAGGTGTACCAGAAGATCCAGGTGTACCAGATGATCCAGGTGTACCAGGTGTACCAGGCGTACCAGGTGTACCAGGTGTACCAGGTGATCCAGGTATGCCAGGAGATCCAGAAATTCCAGATGCAGCTCCTGTACCCGCGCTACCGGGGGAACCAGGTTGTCCTGTGGTGTCACCAGGTTGACTTGGTTGTCCTGTACCTTCTTTACAATCTTCTCGTGATACTGCCCAAGGATGATTGCAGCCTTTAATATCTGGATCCCAGACGGTACCAACTCCACACTCGAACTCGTACTTTACAAACTTTTCAGAACCTTCGTCAACGCATCTATAGAATTTCTTGCAGTTGTTCGGATCAGCGAAGAATCCTTCTTGGACACACTTTCCTCGACCCTGGTCGTTTGCTGGTTTTCCACTTGTTTCGGAAGATTGGCCAGTCGTTGGTGATCTTACGGTAGTAGTCTGTAAAGGTGTCGGCGGTAATTTACTCGCGATCGTGATCTTAGTCGTAGTCGGGCTGATGGTTGTCCAACTCGCTCCATTGTCGTTTGTGGAATTTCCGCTACACTCTGGTCGTCCGCTATCGCCAGGGAAAGTACAAACGTTACCTTTCACCTTCGAGAATACTGTCCCGAAAGCGCACTCGAATGTGAACCGCGTCAGAGGTAGTCCGAATCCCCAATCAACACATCTGTAGAATACCTTACAGTCGTGAGGATCGGGATGATATCCCACTTCCACACATATGAAACCACTTTTCGGTTGTTTATGTGGCAGATGAGGGAAGAAAAGACTCTTCACTAAAATAACAGAAATAATTATGATAACAACTAGATAAAATAATGGCAATAAATTAGTTTGACAGTTGTTAGATAAAATAATAGAAATGATTGTAAATAATAATTACTAGACTGTAGGTTTTATGGGAAATTTACGATTATTTACAAAGCATGTACACGATATGGGAAAATATATAAGATATTGAAAATAGAATATTTGATACAATAGGTAGTGGATATAAATTTCTTTCTTATAAAATTAGATGAGAAAATTTTAAATTAATAAAAACGTAATGCATATTTAATATGCAATTTACATATTTTTGCAACGCTATACAGACTTAAGCTACAGTTCTTCAAAAATATGAGATTGCATAAATTTTCGCAGCTTAATAATTGCAATCTCTTTGAACCATGTTTAAACATTTTCAATAATTCTCTCTTGCTTGAAATGTTAACACTCAAAAGATTGTTGATATTCGGAATTTTACGTTAACAATGTTTCCTCCGATATGTTCAAAGCTACACGTCTCTCGCGAAACGAGTTTACGCTGCTGACGAAGATGAAGAAATAAAAAAGATGATGGCATTGCACCATGGAATCGGTAAGCGTATCACGTGTCCGCGAATCGCACTGTAAATGGGCTTGTCAAGAAAATAGATAGTTCACGTGTTTCCTAAAGGGACATTCGAACCATTCGTGTCGACTCGACATGTGAATTACGAATGCTACACAACTGATTTTATTTCAAACTCGGTAGCAATGAACGAAATCTTACCATCTTGTGCAGACGTCAACGAAATCAGCATTATCAAGGCGCTAAACGCGCCTACGCCTATCCGCATGTCTTCGATTCAGTGTGCCTGAAAATTGTACAATTAGTCTAAATAAAGTTTACAAGAGGCCAATCTTAAGTCTCGGAACACTTTTTATTTTCAATATTTATTATCTAATAAAAATATTATAATAAAAACTAAAAATATTAAATATTATAAATATTGAAAATATTAAAAATATTATAAATATTGTAAATATTAGAAATATTATAAATATTCTATTTTTAATATTTATTATCTAATCTTAAGTCTCAGGACACTTTCTATTTTTAATATTTATTGCCTATCGACAATAACAGCTTTCAACTGTATGTTCATCTTGTAATACAATTACAAGTTACAAGGAATTACGAAATGTGTGTACGGAAACCTCAACTTTATCTCAACGAAACTTATATTTGTTATTATTTTTATTTGAGTTATATATTAATACTGGATCAGCAGCATCGTTATTCTTTCGTACTTGTTGTTAGATATTTATATGCAGATATTTCTCTATATTGAAAAGACAAATCATTTTATTATTATCAATCTTCGTAATGAAAAAGTTAATAAAATAGTTTAGAATTGTTATTTGAAATACCGAGAAGAATTCACTTTTTTTTTATTGATTTGAAGAAATTTTATCTTCTTTTGGTTGATAGAATAATGATGTATTTCGTTATATAAAATGAAATTAATAAATTTTACAGTTAAATAAACATAGCGTTTATTCTATGACCATAGACTTTTTATTGACTTAGATTGAAGCAAAAGATTATTCTGTTCGTACATACATTATACTATAGACGCATTGGAGATATTTACAAAGGATTCTTAACTTCACTAAAAATAATTTTTTTACTTTTCAAATAATATTATTTAAAATAATTTTTATACTCCAAATAATATTATTTAAAATAATTTTTATATTCCAAATAATATCATTTAAAATAATTTTTATATTTCAAATAACATTAAAATACTATTACACTTGTAACAATTGAAACAATAATAAATTGCTTAAAATATTTCAATTATATTCATTTTCATCTTCATTTCTCATCCACACGTTTTACACATATTGTATAAATATTAACGATAATAAAAATGAGTTCATATTAAACCATATTGTTATTAATTTACTCTCAGATAGGGAACCTACCTCTTAACAAAAATCCATATTATAATGTAACTAGTCTAAATTAGCAAAATTAACCAAACATTTATACCACTAATCGTTATTGTCATATCATCAATATTTGTTTAATGAAAATTAATTACAGCCAATTAATCAGTGTCAGTGCAAAAAACGAAATACATCCGCAAAGGGAATTCACGACGAAGCCGAGCTGCCGCTGAAATTTCCATAGTTTTAACGGGACAGCGGATACATGACGTAACTCGTTTCGTTTTTCTGGGACGAGAGGCGTGGATTTCCTCGGTTGAGAATTTCGCGTAAGTGGGCAAGAGATAAGCGGCCACGGGCACAGTTACTCTTGGCCCACGTCCAATCTTCCTTTCCCTCCTCTCCCCCCAACCAAACCTAACCCAACCAAAGGATTCTAACTGTCCCCTGACCTTGGCTGGAATAATTCAACCATCATCGATCGTTCAAGATCAAGGAATTCTCATTTCGTCCGATCCGTGACCTCGATTCTTTTTTCTTTTTTCTCTCGATCGTCGTCCACGTGCTAGAGTAACGATTTGAATATGGTACTCCACTCGTTGTTGATTCGCTCGTACAGTTACGTTAGCATTGATTTCCAACACGCCTTCAACGATTTGACGTGACAACCTTCTTCCTTTTCTTTTCTATTTTTCCTTTTTTTTTTTTTTTTTCTTTTGACCGAGATCGTAAATCAGCGGTCATCGTGAGCGGAATAAGGAAGACGACGAAGGCTGTGCCGTGCTCGTTATCTCCATTAGAAATTCTTTAATTCCACGTCGCGAGCAATCCTCTCTATGCGGCCGGTGCAACGATTGCTGATTAACTAACAGTCTTTCGAATCGTTTATCGCGTAACAATACTTTGAATGCCTCGTGGAAGTGAATTACAAGACGTTCGACATGATCGTATGCATCATTGTCGCTTCTTTTTCTAATTCTTCTTTTCATAATCATGTTGTTACGTTCTTAATTATATTTATGTTAATTGATTGCCTTTGTACGTTACCATCCACTTCACTTTACTATCCTTTAATTACCTTTGCATTGTCACTTTGTTCTGGTTTCCATGTTGTTTCTGCAGTCTTGATTAGATTTGTATTGATTAATTTGTGTATTCTATTCTATTTTTCCTGTGTTATAATATATATTGTCTTATATCTTATCCTAGAGTGTTATCTTATGCTATACATATACTATGTTATTTTATACTACTTTTGTCCAGTGTTGCTCTTAATTTACTATTTTTATCTAATAATTTTTTCCATGTAATTATACAATTTCCATTTGATTAATCGTTGTTTTCAATCTGGACCATTTAATAAGACTGCAAGATGTTTCATATTTCCATGAAAATAATTTAAAAAATGATGCCCAAGTACAAAATTACTTCACTTTACAAGGGACTGCATTTTGAATATTTTATATATTTCTATATATTATGTTTGTATTCTGTATACTTCAGTGCTTCCAAATTTTCTACAAATGCTCATTTATAGCATCTGCTATTTACTTGTGTTTTAAATTTTACCAACACGACAACGTAAAGGCATATTACAAAACTAATAACATTTCACAATACTTGTGCAGTTAAATTTGATTCTGAGATATTTAAACGTTCAAATCTCAGTTCAGAATTAACGTTATTAACAATTCTGCTCGACCTACTTGCAAGATTTGTTGCCTCTCTTGTTCTGTATATTTTTTTTTTTTTTTTCTTAATACGTGTCCTCACTCATATTTAAAATATGCTAACTCAGTTTTACTAATATATATCATGAATATTGCACAAACTTGCAACATTTGATTACTTTTGACTTTCACTAATATGGAAAGATTATTAGATCGTCAATATATATGAAATATATATTCTAAATATAAATATATTCTAATATATATATTCTAAATATTCTAAATATAAATATATTCTAATATATATATTCTAAATATTCTAAATATAAATATATTCTATATTCAAATATATATTCTAAATATAAATATATTCTAATATATATGAAAATGATTACTGTACATATGTAAAGATTTCTACAAATGTTCAAACACTTTCGCCAGCTAAGAAAAAGGCAAGGATCTCTTCTTCGACGGATCGACGAGAGTAGAATAATGAAATTTCTGTGATGAGATCAACCAGGAAACCGTCTGCAATTTTTTAACGTATCGATAGCCTGTCAGACAATTGACTGGTGGTGCAACACCGTCTGTGAAGCATCAGCATCCTCGCGTGTGGGTGCAGATTGCGAATCAAAGCGTGGGTTGCAGGATTCCCCTTATTCTTCTTCACCGTTCCATCGCGATAAAATCGTAGGGAACTGTGAACTCACACCGAGTCTCGGCCGTTTCAAACGTACTGTGAGATAAATTCGCGGAATGATACCTTCTGACAGCGCCTGAGAATTCTCTCGCCAAGAATCTTGCCATATCTGATCGCGAGTATTTATCGAAGACGAATTTCATTGAAACTTGGTTTCACGTGTCAATGACTCTCTTTAATTTAATCTTAATATATACGACTGATAGATTAATCAAGTAGTTGAAAATTCTGCAGAGTGACTGTCGAAATTTTAGATATTAAAAGTGTTAAAAATTTAATATTTAATATTAATAATTGAATTATAATTATTTAATATTATTATAATAATATAATATATTAATTTAATGTAATAATGAAATTTTAAATATTTTAAATATTAAAAATAAACACAAAACTTAACAAAAATTATTTACGTACAGTATTGTAGTTCGATGTTTGTAAAATTGAAAATTTTCACAAGTAATATTAGAACTTTGGAAATTAGTATTTCTCGAAACTTATTAATTTATAATAATAATAAAAATTATTATTATTATTAACTAGGTTACGTAATTTATTATAATAATAATTATTATTAAATTACGTAATTTATAATAATAAAAATTATTATTATTATTAACTTAGGTTACGTAATTTATTATAATAATTATATTTATTATAATAATATTATTAACTTATGTAATTTATAATAATAATAATTTATAATAATAATAATTTATAATAATAAAAATTATTATTATTATTATTATTAACTAGGTTACGTAATTTAATTTGTATCAATTTTAATTATTATTATTTACTTTATTTACTACACAATTTTAATTATTATATATACTACGTTACATAATTTATTTCCGTTATACGAAATTTGGATTGAAAATAACATAAACTGGGACATAAGTGCTCTCAGTATTGTTGACAGGGTCAAAGTAATCTACCTGTGAAATACTCGATCCCATCTCTCCTGCCCACCTTACTCGAGCCTGCTCGGAAGTATTACTTTCATTTCCGGAGATATTTATAAAACATTCGAAACTATCCTGCTTAGAGTACAGAGTATACTCGAGAGTACTGTTGGAAATGTTTACACGGGAATCCAACAAATCAAACATTCGAACGTACTTGCGAGATATTCAATTCCATCCCTGCTGTCCAAGTAAATACGCAGCGGCGGGAACGAAGGACGATAAATTCAGAAAGCGAGCTGAAAGCTGCGCGGCGAAGGTGCCGGAGTGAACAAGGCTCGCATAAGTGGGAGAAAGCTACGCGTTGAAAAATCTAAACGGACCGTGAACTAGCTTCTCCACTGATCCTTTCTCCACGTTGGTAGAGCGAAAAGCGGATTGCACGAACAGTGACATAACATGAGAATGCGGCTGCTCCGTGTTCACTACGACTACTGAATGACAGAGAGGAGAGAGAGTTGCCATGACATAACAACGCTGACAGAGTCAATGTCAGTGACGACGATCGTGACATTGGAAGACACAATTGTTGGTTATACCGAAATGGTGAACTGGTTGTTGTTTTTTTTTTTCTTGCGCGAACGCGG